ACGATGCCGGTGACGGTGCTCGGGGCTGGGGCGAAAGGACTGTCCACCCCAGGAAGGACTAGACCATCCTGCTGCAGCATCACCTGAGATGCAGGATGGACACCCCCTGCCTCCCCCGCCCCAGGACACCCCAAGTTGCAGGAACAGGACGTACTTGAGCACACCACACTGGCATCTTCTCCATGATTGCAGTTACTCCGTCCCCAGGGACGGGCTTGGCACTGGACGAGGGCATCCTCTCTCCCGGTGCAGGCCACATCATCCAACCAGATGCGCCCCGTCCCACTCCCGAAGTGAGCCCGACCGGGGGCTTCCTCAGCTCTGCCACAGCCCAGCTGCCTGCACACCACCGCTGCGTCGTTCAGGTCCCAGCCGTCATCGCAGATGGTCCCCCACTGCCCGGCGTTGAGCACCTCCACCCTCCCGGCACAACGGTGTGGCCCGTTTACCAACCGCAGGTCAGCTGAGCTGGAGTTGCCTGCTTCTGCGGAGAGGGAAATAGGTGGGCACATGGCTGGAGGGCACCCCCACATCCCTGGACCACCCCCTGCCTGCATCCCTGGACCACCCCCACCTTCAGCACCCCATGTGCCTCCAGGGAGGAGCAGGGCAGGGCCAACGTCCGGGCATTGGTAGCATTGAGTACAAAAGGGATTGACATGGCTGGGTGCTGCTGTTTTACCAGGGGGACAAAACCCTGGGCATGATGCCTGGCTGCAGGGTGCTGCAGGCTGCCTCAGGGTCATAGACTCTCTGAACAGTTTGCATTGGGACCTTTAAAGACCATCTAGTCCAACTCCCCTTCCATGAGCAGGGACATCTTCCGCTATATGAGGTTGCTCAAAGCCTCATCCAACCAGACTTGGAATACTTCCAGTATAGACTCATAGAATGATTTGGGTTGGAAGGGACCTTCAAAGATCATCTAGTTCAACTCCTTGCCATGGGCAGGGACATCTTCCAGTAGATCGGATTCTCAAAGCTCCATTCAACCTGACCTTGAACACGTCTAATGGTGGGGCATCCACAACTTCTCTGAGCAACCTGTTCCAGTGTCTTACCACCCTCATCATAAAACATTTCTTCTTTATGTCCAATCTAAATTTACACTGTTTTAGTTTAAAACAGTTGCCCCTTGTCCTGTCGCTAAAGGCCTTGATAAAAAGTCTCTCTCTGTCTTTCTTATAAGCTCCCTTTAAGTATTGAAAGACCACAAGAAGGTGTCCCTGGAGCCTTCTCTTCTCCAGGCTGAACAACCCCAACTCTCTCAGCCTTTCCTCACAGCAAGGTGCTCCAGCCCTCTGACCATTTTCATGGCCTCCTCTGGACTCACTCCAACAAGTCCATGTCCTTCTTGTGCTGGAGACCCCAGAGCCGAACGCAGTGTTGCAGAGAGGGTCTCACCAGAGTGGAGTAGAGGGGGAGAATCCCTTCCCTTGACCTGCTGGCCATGCTTCTTTTGATGCAACCCAGGATACGACTGGCTGTGGTTTGCAAGTGCACATTGCTGGTTCACATCCAGCTTTTCATCCACCGGTACCCCCAAGTCCTTCTCCGCAGGGCTGCTCTCAATCCCTTCATCCCCCAGCCTGTACTGATACTGGGGGATGCCCCAACCCAGGTGCAGGACCTTGCACTGGGCCTTGAGGTGAAGGTCCAGGAGATACACATGGGTGAGAGCTGCAAGAAGCTCCTACACCAACCCTGCACATTTCATCTCCTCCAAAGGGGGCCAGCTGTCTGCCCCTGGGTACTGACAGGAGCTCTGCGTCTGGCCAGCCCCATCCCGTCTCTCACCTGAGCACACCACACCAGCGTCCTCCCCGTGGTGGCAGTTGTGGACGCCCCACATCTTGGCTCGACACTCAAGGAAGTTGGTTTCCTCCCCCGTGCAGCTCACATCGTCCAGCCAGATGGGGCCAGATGCCCATCCAAACCGAGCTGAGCCGGGGGCTGAGAGGGCAACCCCACAGCCCAGCTGCCGGCACACCACCGCTGCATCACTCAGGTCCCAGCTGTCATCACAGACCGTCCCCCACTTGTTGTTGTAAAACACCTCAACCCTCCCAGAGCACTTGCTCAAGCCATCCATCAGGCGAAGCCTCGGGATGCTGGCAATCCCTGAGCCTGAAAAATACCAAAAAATGGGCATTATTAAGGATCTGCTTGTGCATCTTAGCACCTGCTGGGTTGGAGAGGGCAGGACATCCCCATGGCAGGTCTGGGTGGTGGTGCTGCAGCGAGCTTGTACATCCCTTGCCCTTTGATTATCAGAGACGCGCAGCGAAGTGAGCGCAGGGGTTTTTGCAGGGTGGAAGGAGCTGAGAAGATCCCTTCCACCCGTTGAACCCTGAGGGTGGTTGCACCCTGGTTTAGCGGTTGGGACAGGAGAAAGCACCCATGTCTTCACCTGAGGGACAGCGTGCTGGGAAGAAGGGATGCACAAGGGTCCTTCCCAGTGTTTCTCCGTGTTTTCCTTCCCCCTTGATTGGAAGCTGCATCACCTAGGTTCACCGGGTACTACCCACTTTTTGCCCCAGAGGAAATGGCAAAGGATCTTTTTCTGACCCTGTCCTGACTACTTCTGACTGCCACATTGACCTGTCCATGGAGCTTGACCTTCTAAGGCCAAGGCTAGACTGGTAGCAGCTAGCTCAAAAGTGGTGTATCAGATGAGAGCAGCTGGTTCCAATGCATCTTTCTGCATTTATCTGCACATCCTGCACATTTTACTGTGACAGCAGCACAAGTCGCTCTGCTCTTGCCACTCAAGCAGCACCCATGCACCCTCCAGCTACTGCTCCCAAAGGGTTAAGGTGCTTCACCCCATGAAAACATCCTGGACACCTCCAGTGGTACCAGACTCTGAGGCATGTCTTAAGCCATGCTACTTTTTCCCCAGCATATCGTATCTTTCCATGTCTCTGAACACTGTTATTTTAATGCGGTTTCTACCGATCTGGGCAATTTGTTGACCAACTTGTTCCCAAACTGTTCCCAGCCTGCAGAAGGATGGGGCTTGGTCCATCTTACACAGAAAGCATGTGGTGAGGGTTACCTGAGCACACAACGCTGGCGTCTTCCACATGGTTACATGCATGGTGTCCCCAAGGCTTGACAGGGCATTCAGCGAGGGTGGCTTCTGTCCCAAGGCAACTCACCCCGTCTAGCCAGATGGGGCCAGATCCTTGCCCAAAACCAGATAAACCTGGGGCTGACATGGCCGTCCCACAGCCCAGCTGCCGGCACACCACAGCTGCGTCCTTCAGGTCCCAGCCGTCGTCACAGATGGTTCCCCACTGCTGGTTGTGAAAGACCTCTACCCTCCCGGCACAGCGGTGCGGGCCGTTCACCAGCCGCAGGGCTTCTGAGCTCCCCGGCTCCAAGTCTAAAAACAGAGAACAATAAATCCTGGCCAGAAATGCCTGCCTGTCCGGTGGCTGGCAACACAGTGGACCTTCTCTTGCAAGGGGTCTCCACCAGCATGTAGCACTTCTGCTAGTGCTGCACCCTGGGTGTGCATGCATGAAGACCTTTTGGGACAAGCCTGCTGGGACCTTGCCTGGTAGATTGTGAACTTGGCCAAATTACCGAGGAGCTCCCATGTTGTGAGTATCCTCATGGGGATAAGCAGGTGTCCTGGTTTGGCTAAAACAGGACCATTTCTGCTTTCAGTAGAGTTTTTCCTTGTTAAGTTTCTTCTAAGTAACTGCACTTTTGGAAGTTAGCTCCGTGTTTTTCAGACAGTGTCTGCTTTCAGAATCGATGGCGCTTGATGTTGACAGTTTTTACTAAAGTAGCGGTGGGATTGGTATACAGAAAGGCCCACGTTTGTACTTACTCCCATGGGAACCAAGGTCAGTGTTGGGTCTCTTATGTTAAAAAAGTGAAAAAATGTAAAAGGGTCACACCTGCAGAAAAGTGAGGACGAGACAGGTGACCAAAATATTAGCGTGAATATTATTATACTCTTTTTCACTGTTATTGTTCTATCAAAGCAGTTTTAATTTCCCAACTTGTAAGTCTCTCTCCCTTCTCTCCTTTCCCTCCCCTTCTGAGGAAGGAGTGGGTTTAATAGAGAGCATCCGCCATCTGCTTTGAGTGCTGGCCCAGCCTTGAACGGTGACAGCAGGCAAGGAGGCACCAAGTGTGTTGTGAACCTGAGCAAGAAATAGCTTGGTGAAGAGAAGGGACTCCCTGAGGACTACAGGCTGTGTGGTAGCACAGATCAAAAAAAAAAAATCAAAAAAACCACAGGGGCAGCTGCAGCCCTGGTGCGCCAGGGCTCTTTGCATGTGATGGAAAGCCTACATTTTACAGGCTTGGGATTTCTGGGAATCCCAGTCTTGGGATTTCCAAGCACTTTGCCTGAGGGAAGACAGGGACTAGTAGACCTTAAAATGGAAAACACCTTGTACTCCCTGGTGGGACCGCAAGAACAAGGAGTGGTTGAGCCAGGACAAGGAGGAGCTGGATGGGTGAATTTGGTCAGACTGAATGTCCTCCCCCAGGGGAGGACTGATCCCCGACTCACCGCCACTGACCTGCGGCCGTGGAGCACATGACACCTGCGTGCTCCCTCGACTTGCAGCTCTTAGCACCCCAGAACTTGACCTTGCACTCGAAGAGGGCCCCCTCCGTCCCGGTGCACTCCACAGCATCCACCCAGATCAGGCCATCTCCTGTCCCAAACCGGGTAGACCCCGTGGCCGAGTGCGCCGACCCGCAGCCCAGCTGCCGACAGACCACGTGGGCTTCGGTCAGGTCCCAGCCATCCGTACAGATGCCCCCCCAGCGCTGATCATGAAACACTTCAACTCTCCCAGAGCACGGGTCCGAGCCGTTCACCAGGCGGAGGCTTTCGAGGTCAGAAATGCCCGATTCTACAACATCAGAGAGCGTACACATGTTAAGGATATACCTTCTGTCCCATGAGACCTCTGGCTGCCAGCAAAGAGTTTACACCAGAGGCTGAGCAGCCCTGGGGGTCAAGGATGCTCTTGCAACGACATAGAGGGCAGACCTTTCAGGTATGATGTGAACTGGCCCAAGTGGTGCCCAAGGCTTGATTAGCATGGGCTTGACCAGACTATAGTCAATGAACCTTATATAGTTTGCCCTCCTAAAGCAGACACATAGGGCAGTGTCTAGTTTCCAAGACACAAGCATCCTTATGCCATTTGGGACTCCTGGGATACCTCACCTGCCCTCCAGCTGCTGCTTCTGAAGGCCACAGGTTACCCAGTAGATCAACTAGGGTGACATGCTACCTTCCCATGCTGGGGTGACTGAATTCAATGCTAGCTGTCTTGGTCAGTGACACCCAGATATTAAGCAAAGTCCATCCTGATGTTAAGCAACCTGGTTGCAGTCCAGTAACCCCAGCTTCTTAATAGCCACTAAAATGGGCTGTGGGGTTCCTCTGGCAGAAAATCAGAGCTGGAGAGGAGATAGAGGGATGGGAGATGGGCTTTTATGGGCTCACACAGCTCTGAGCATCGTGGGGCACAACTACTGTGGATCAATCAAAGCTGTCAGAAAGTCCCCCCGACTATGAGGCCAGCTGTAATGGGAGACGACCCACATATACTGCAGCCTGCACCGCTGTGAAGAAATAGGTGGCCATATTGCAATTTGCCTGATGGGAATGGTCTCTGGTCTGTGCTAACTGCCAGGATTTGTGATAAATAACATCAGCCAAAAGCATGCCAGAGACCGTACTTTTAGCGATAGCAGTGCAAATGGGCATGGCGTTTGTTTTTCTCAGACCATAATGTCTGCATACAGCTGCCATCTTCTACCAGAATGGACCACGAGGGGCTAATGTCAAAGCAAAGGGTCTCCAGGCTGGCTGTAAACTGCTCCTGCATTGCAAGCAGGACCCGTAGGGGAAAGCAGAGTCAAACCCCAGTGCTGGAGGACCGTGGTAAGGTTTACTGCGGTGCTCCCAGTGCCATGACATGCGGCAGTTACCTGAGCACACCACACCGGCGTCTTCTCCGTGCTCGCATCCGTGGATGCCCCAGCCCTTGGATCTGCATTCAGAGAGGGCAGCCTCCGTCCCCATGCAGCGCAGGTTGTCCAGCCAGATGGGTCCCTGTCCCTGCCCGAAGTGAGCCCGCCGTGGAGCTGATATCACTACCCCACAGTCCAGCTGCCGGCACACCACTTTGGCATCCGCAAAGTCCCAGCTGTCATCGCACACTGTCCCCCATTTCTCACTGTGAAACACCTCGACCCTCCCGGCACAGTGACCTGGGCCATCCACCAGCCGGACCGGGGCAAAGCTGGAAACATCCGAGCCTGCAAATAGGCAAGTTGATGCTCAGAGCATCCAGCCCCTCTGCAGGAAGACAAAGGACTCTGCATTTCAGCGCATAACTGGTGCTGCATGGTCACGTTGCCTCTGGACCCACAGCATCTCGTCCCCACCCTGTGGAGGCGCTTCTGAAAGGGATTGGGGGTAATTGACCCAGCGGCAAGCAGGGTGAAGCTGGCACCTTGCTCCCAACTGGAATGGGGGAAATTACCAGTGCATCCTGACCCTCTGCCGGTGCTGGAGTGCAACCCACCTGAGCACACCACGCTGGCATGATTTCCATGGCTGCAGCTGCTCTGTCCCCATGGGCTCGCCTGGCAATTCATAAGGGCTGGCTCTGTCCCTTGGCAGTTCACGTTGTCCAGCCAGATGCGCAGGGGTCCGGTGCCAAAGTCCTCCCGCTCCGATGCCGGCAGTGCTGTCCCACAGCCCAGCCGCCG